TAACACACAACTAACAACTAAATTAGATGTCTAAAACATACTTCCTTGGGTCGATTGCATGGTGAGGACAATTAGCAAGAAAGCTGACTAAAAATGAGGACAACCTTAGCCAGGTACAGATTGCCGTGGTCATGATCCTCTTCTTAGCCTTCTCTTCCAACTTACATGAGTTGTTTTCTTGTCCAGTGCCTTTAGTACTTTCACAGGTCGCCCTTTTATTAAGATGCCTACACCACCTACGGTGTTGGATGCTGAACGTACAGCATTGACCGCATAAATTGTTTTGCACTAGAAGAATCCAGTTCCAGGACGTCTGAAGAAAAATAGAAAAGATGCCGCATTGCAACAATGTCTAAAGCACGTAAGTGTATCTTTAGGGTAAAAAAAATGAACAGTTGAAAGAAACCCTTAAGGGGACTACTGATTACAAAAGATCCCAGAGGGTTTGAACATTGGAAGGTTGATTGCCGTCAATTTAAGGGGGCAACTATGGTATTTCTATAAATAATAGTTACTCTGAACGTTCAGGCTTTCTTGTTTAATGAATAGTTATCCATAAATTATAATAAAAGAAAAAACACATACTCTGTTACTTTATGAAGAACTTGCACAAAGGACTGCACTTCACCAAATGAAGAAAAACGTTGTTTCAATTCCTCAGCCGTGATTTCAAAAGGAATATTGCTGATGAAAATTGTCCTCTGCAGCTCGTCTTCTTCATCTTGAGTTGACTTAGTATTTTTACCTCATATGACTGTTTTCTATCCGGTACAGATAAATCATCAGTTTTACCCTCAGCTGGTTCTGAGACATTCCTCTCAGAAACATCTTGGAAATACTAAAATGAGGTTGTTGAGCACATTTGTAGCCATCTCTGCCTCTTCCTCAAAATCAACTTCACTTTTTCTGTCATTTTCTGTTGAATCTGACTCATCGGCACTGTGATTACTACCAACCACTTGTGATTTCCCAATTGGTTCTTCATCACTGTCCTCTGATCCAAAACTGCTTCTATCATCGTGTTTCAATTCTGTAAAACCACAAATCAGTTGAGAGTAAAATTTAGTTATCAAGGGCTATGACAACACAAGATAAAATCTAAAAGGTATCAAAATCTCCTAATTATGGTATTAAGCACAAAATAACATCGTCTGGAATATGGAATTCACGAAAAAAAAAAAAGGTCATGCAAAAACCTTCCAGCAAACACACACTATGATTCAGAGAGGGAAAAGGTGGCATAAACCCACACGAATATTGCATCCATTAATAATGAGTAAACATTAAAATTGAGAAGGAAATCGTTAGGTCATTTTCAGAACAATGGTCATTCTCTATTCTTCGCAACGCAGACCTGATTTTTTTGATGGATTTTACCACTTCATCATTTTTTTATTTTTCCTGCAAATATAGAATTTGAATCAGATATAATTAATTACGTACATAAGGTATTAACATAAAAGTTCACAAAAAAAATTGTGAGGCACTAAATTTTATCAGATAGCAACATGATCATTTATGCATCCAAATGATACTGGCAATCATTTCGTACCAATCTTAATATCATCCAAATGGGCATTTAGT